CTCTGCTTCTGCTCTTCCTGCTTCTGCTCTCTCTGCTTCTGCTCTCCCCCCTTCTGCTCTCCCTGCTTCTGCTCTCTCTACTTCTGCTCTCCCCCCTTCTGCTCTCCCTGCTTCTACTCTCTCTGATTCTGCTATCTCTTCTTCTGCTCTCCCTGCTTCTGCTCTCTCTGCTTCTGCTCCCTCTGCTTCTGCTCTCCCTGCTTCTGCTCTCCCCCCTTCTGCTCTCTCTGCTTCTGCTATCCCTGCTTCTGCTCTCCCCCCCTTCTGCTCTCTCTGCTTCTGCTCTCCCTGCTTCTGCTCTCCCTGCTTTTGCTCTCCCCCTTCTGCTCTCTCTCTGCTTCTGCTATCCCTGCTTCTGCTCTCTCTCTGCTTTTGCTCTCCCCCTTTGCTCTCTCTGCTTCTGCTCTCCCCCCTTCTGCTCTCTCTGCTTCTGCTATCCTTGCTTCTGCTCTCTCTCTCTTCTGCTCTCTCTGCTTCTGCTCTCCCTGCTTCTGCTCTCTCTCCTTCTGCTCTCTCTCGTTCTGCTCTCCCTGCTTCTGCTCTTCCTGCTTCTGCTCTCTCTGCTTCTGCTCTCCCCCTTCTGCTCTCTCTGCTTCTGCTCTCCCTGCTTCTGCTCTCCCCCTTTCTGCTCTCTCTGCTTCTGCTCTCCCCCCTTCTGCTCTCTCTGCTTCTGCTCTCCCTGCTTCTGCTCTCTCTGCTTCTGCTCTCCCCCCTTCTGCTCTCTCTGCTTCTGCTATCCCTGCTTCTGCTCTCTCTGCTTCTGCTCTCCCTGCTTCTGCTCTCCCCCTTCTACTCTCTCTGCTTCTGCTCTCCCCCCTTCTGCTCTCTCTTCATCTGCTATCCCTGCTTCTGCTCTCCCTGCTTCTGCTCTCTCTGCTTCTGCTCTCTCTGTTTCTGCTCTCCCTGCTTCTGCTCTCTCTGCTTCTGCTCTCTCTGCTTCTGCTCTCCCTGCTTCTGCTCTCCCTGCTTCTGCTCTCTCTGCTTCTGCTCTCCCCTTTTCTGCTCTCTCTGCTTCTGCTCTCCCTGCTTCTGCTCTTTCTGCTTCTGCTCTCCCTGCTTCTACTCTCCCCCCTTCTGCTCTCTCTGCTTCTGCTCTCTCTGCTTCTATTTCTCTCAAAATATCTGAAATAGTTAATTTTTTACTGTTTTTCAGTGCATTTGGGAAGGTCTCCTGAGGTTATCTTTAAAAAAACGCTTCTAAACGCAAATGCACATAAACACGGCTAAACAGACGTTTTTTAACCTACGTTTTCCAGCAGTCAGTTTCCATCCTTCAGAAGTGTCCCGTGTACATGGAGCCTTAGGGCTCATGTACACTGCAGCTGATAAACGCACGTATAGGAGCTTTTCTGCATTTTTTTCAGCAGCCCCCGAACTCTCCCTAATGTTTTCCTATATGTCCATGTACACATCGTCGTTTACAGGCAGTTGAATTTACTGTCGTTTTTTTTTAATGCACCAAACTTGTGTTCAGGAGTAGATTTTTATCAGCGTTTCAAACGTGGCTAAACACGTTTATATGTGTTTGCGTTTAAAAGCATTTTTTAACTGTTCCATAACCAGATGCTGTCTAGAGCCTTTTTTTCATCATCAGAAATGCATGGACAGCGTTTTCCATGAATTCAAATGGACCCGGTACACCAGCGCAGTCAGTTCCAGGTTTCGCGTGAAGGAAAAATGGTAGAGCGTGCCGCATTATGCTCATGATGGGATCCATAGTGACTACAACCTCAAAAGACAGGTCATCTCCACACATACTGCTCTCTCTGCTTCTGCTCTCTCTATTTCTCTCAAAATGTCTGAAATAGTTAATTTTTTACCATTTTTCCAGTGCATTCTGGGCATTTGGGAAGGTCTCCTGAGGTTACCTTTAAAAAACCGTTCTAAATGCAAACACGGTATGCAAACTCAGCTAAACTGACATTTTTTAACCACCTCCCACCCGCCATATAGTAAAATGATGGGCGCAAGGTGGTTCTCTCGTTCTGATAGGACGTCATATGATGTCCTTCCATTCTCACCACGCATGCGCGGCTCAGGGAGCGCACAGCACGGCGATCGCCGGTGCGCTGTGTCCCTCGGACACAGAAAATCACGGAAAGAGCCGAAGATGTTTGCTCGGTCACATGTAAACACGGAAATGCCTGTTATCAGCATTTCTCTCCTCTCGAGCTGTCACGCTGACAGCTCATGAGGAGATGAGAGCCGGTAATCGGCTTTCCACGGAGCTGACATGTACACTGATCATCAGGGCACTGATGATCAGTGTGCCCTGATGATCAGTGTGGCCCCAGAAGTGCCACCTGTCAGTGTCCAACAGTGCCAGCAGTCAGTGCTCACCAGTGCCACGTGCCAGTGCCCATCAGTGCCACATCAATGCCACATATCAGTGCATACCAGTGCACCTCAATGCCACATATCAGTGCCCATCTGAGCTGCCTTTCAATGTCACCCATCAGTGCCAGTCAGTGCCACCTATCAATGCCAATCAGTACCACCCATCAGTGCTGCCAATCTGTGCCACCTATCAGTGCCAGTCAGTGTCGCCTATCAGTGCCAGTCAGTTCCGCCTAACAGTGCCAGTCAGTGCCAGTCAGTGCTGCCTATCATTGCCGCCTATCAGTGCAATATATCAGTGTCACGTATCAGTGCTGCCTTTCAGTGCCCATCAGTGATGCCTGTCAATGCCCATCAGTGCAACCTACCAGTGCCTCCTCATCAGTGCCTATCAGTGTCACCTATCAGTGTCCATCAGTGCAGCCTATCAGTGCCCATCACTGCAGCCTCATTAGCTCACATCAGTGAAGGAGAAAAATCACTTATTTACAAAATTGTATAACAAAAACTAAGAAAAAACGTTTTTTTTTTTTTTCAAAATTTTCAGTGGTTTTTGGTTTGTTTAAGAAAAAATAAAAATCCCAGAGGTGATTAAATACCACGAAAAGAAAGCTCTATCTGTCTCAAAAAAATGATAAAAATTTAATATGGGTACAGTTTTGCATGACCGCGCAATTGTCATTCAAAGTGTGACAGCGCTGAAAGCTGGAAATTGGCCTGGGCAGGAAGGGGGTATAAGTGCCCTGTAGGCGAGGGGTTAACCTACTTTTTCCAGCAGTCAATTTCCATCGTTCAGAAGTGTTCCGTGTACATGGAGCCTTAGGAAAAACAAAAATGGAGTTGCTAAATTGGGGGTTTCACCCAGTAACTATCTTTCAGCTGGCTAAAAAACTACAAAAACAATTTGGAATTTATTTACCACCTGACTTAAAAAAAAAAATGAAATCATGAAGGCTTGTCCTTGGAAATGCAAAAAATATGCCAGGGTCCTCCTGCAATGTCCCCAATACCGAGGCCAAATCTCTGACAGCAGTAGCTAAATCTTAATGCATGCCAAAGAACTTTGATTGGAAAACCTCATCCCACACGTCCAACAGTCTATGGACTATCAACAAAATAGTGGTCCATCCCAGTGTAGTATCTTGGCATAGATGAAGACACCTCCATTTTCAGCTCCAGTAAATTGACGTCTTTCTTGCTTTAGCTGACTATTCTCAGATTGTAACCTGGTTATTTGGGTTTTAAAAGAGACTTGGCTTTGGCTACTGTGGCCTCCATGCCTGGGAGAATTGACCCACCTTGCAGAGTACACTTCGTTGCGTCTTGGTGCAGTTTTGGTGTACCGAGAGTTCCTTTGCACAAAACAATATCGTGCGATGTGCCCCAACTTTTTACAAGCAGTACATCTCAGAACTGCCTTCCCTGAAGTAGCCCTTCTCTGAGCACATGACGACTGAGACACATTACAATGGCTGGAATCTCGAGACCTCACACTCTCGTTGTCTGAGGAACATTCACCACCAATAGACTCCTCCGATGTGTTCACTACCACGGCATTACTATGACGGTCAGACCCATTCTCTATTTCCAAGCCCAAATCAGTCTCAACAGCTGCTACAAAACCATTGTCTAAACCAGCCTTTCTCAACCAGGGTGCCCAGGTGCCTTGGGGTACCTCGAGGCTTCTTCAGGGGTGCCTTGGCAAAACGAATCCTAGTTTGACCCTCCAACAGCCCCTTTCCATCAGTGCTGGGGTCACATTAGCTCAGTGATGGAGAAAAACTGAGGGAGAGGAGAAACATTAGAACAGCCTTTCTCAACCAGGGTGCCCAGGCACCCTGGGGTGACTTGAGGCTTCTTCAGGAATGTCTTGAGGCTTCTTCAGGGGTGCCTTGAGGCTTCTTCAGGGGTGCCTTGGCAAATGTCTAAAAATTGCCCAAAACTTGTATACAAGGGTGGAATAAGCCTGCCTTTTAGTTACACAAAGCCACAGGTTTTCATTGTGCACCATTACAACCTTTTAGGCGCCTGCGTCCTGACAACCAATGACATCATCAGTTGAGGAGCATGTCAGCTGCCTGCACCGCATCCTAGTTTGACCCTCCAACAGCCCTTTTCCATCAGTGCTGGGGTCACATTAGCTCAGTGATGGAGAAAAACTAAGGGAGAAGAGAAACACTAGAACAGCCTTTTTCAACCAGGGTGCCCAGGCGCCCTGGGGTGACTTGAGGCTTCTTCAGGGGAGCCTTGAGACTTCTTCAGGGGTGTCTTGGAAAATGTCTAAAAATTGCCCAAAACTTGTATACAAGCCAGCGGGTGGAACAAGCCTGCCTTTTAGTTACACAAAGCCACAGGTTTTCATTGTGCGCCATTACAACCTTCTAGCCGACGGTGTCCTGACAACCAATGACATCATCAGTTGAGGAGGATGTCAGCTGCCTGCACCGCATCCTAATTTGACCCTCCCCTGCCACTTTCCGTCAGTGCTGGGGTCACATTAGCTTAGTGATGGAGAAAAACTGAGGGAGAGGAGAAACACTAGAATACTAGTCAGTAGCAGCGTGCAAAAGTGTATTTGCTTTGGAAGAATAAATCACCTCTAATGTTGGGTGTCCTCTGTGTGTGGATGTTGCTGTGTTGTATAAAACTATTGGAATAGTTTTTCACATTTTAGAATGGGGTGCCTCAAGACTGTCCATAAATTTTAAAGGGTGCCTCGGGACTGTCCATAATTTTAAAGGGTGTCTCGAGACTGTCCGTAATTTTAAAGAGTACCTCGAGACTGTCCGTAATTTTAAAGGGTGCCTCGGGATTGTCCATAATTTTAAAGGGTGCCTCGGGACTGTCCATTTTTTAAAGGGTGCCTCAAGACTGTCTGTAATTTTAAAGGGTGCCTTGGGACTGTCCATCATTTTAAAGGGTGCCTCAAGACTGTCCGTAATTTTAAAGGGTACCTCGGGACTGTCCGTAATTTTAAAGGGTGCCTCGGAACTGTCCATAATTTCAAAGGGTGCCTCGGGACTGTCCATAATTTTAAAGGGTGCCTCGGGACTGTCCATAATTTCAAAGGGCGGCTCGGGACTGTCCATAATTTTAAAGGGCGCCTCGGGACTGTCCATAATTTTAAAGGGTGCCTCGGGACTGTCCATAATTTTAAAGGGTGCCTTGACTGAAAAAAGGTTGAGAAACCGTGGTGTAAACATCCATCATAGACCTGTCTCTGCTAAACATGGAGAATGGTCGACCTTCGCACGTCCAGAGCACGTCTCCCGTATAGCCCCCTGGGCATTATCCAGACATTCTCTAACAAACGTCATCTCATTGCGGAATTTAGAGTTTCCATTAGTAATACGCTTACTCTCTGCGGTAAATATAGCCGCCTGCTGGGCAAGAAATTTCACATTTTCAACTTCAGCTTTGAAAAACTCCACCTCGTCTTCCAATTTCTGCTTCTGCTGAAAAACAGATTTGCGTTCCTCTGCTGTCCAGCCGGCAGCAGAAATGAGCACACACTTCGCCTTATGTGGATTTAATTCTTTGCCAAAAATGTTTTTATCCACCCATTTTTGTGCTTTCCACCAGATCCTTGTATACCTCGAACAATACCCTCAGTGTCCTTTATTTGTGCCACCTTTTTCAAAATTCCCTCCATTATTGAGACACACACAAGTATACTCAGCACAAGGTCACCAAAGCAAGAGTAATGACACCAAACGCTGCTGCTTGTTGCAGAATACACTTTAACACCCAGATAACAAAAAAAATTCTCAACAAAAGTAACAACTATCCATAGAACAATTAAAAAAAACAAAACACCCACTCACCAACTGCTAGGGCTCCTAGGCCAGCCTTTCTCAACCAGGGTGCCTTCAAGCTTCTTCAGGGGTGCTTTCAGGCTTCTTCAGGGGTGCCTTCAGGTTTCTTCAAGGGTGCCTTCAGGCTTCTTCAGGGGTGCCTTCCGGCTTCTTCAAGGGTGCCTTCAGGCTTTTTCAGGGGTGCCTTCAGGCTTCTGCATGGGTGCTTTCAGGCTTCTTCAGGGGTGCCTTCAAGCTTCTTCAGGGGTTCTTTCAGGCTTCTTCAGGGGTGCCTTCAGGCTTCTTCAGGAGTGCTTTCAGACTTCTTCTGGGATGCCTTCGGGCTTCTTCAGGGTGTGCCTTCGGGTGCCTTCGGGCTCTTCAGGTGTGCTTTCGGGCTTCTTCAGGTGTGCTTTCAGGCTCCTTCAGGGGTGCCTTCAGGCTTCTTCAGGAGTGCTTTCAGGCTTCTTCTGGGGTGCCTTCAAGCTTCTTCAGGAGTGCCTTCAGGCTTCCTCAAGGGTGCCTTCAGGCTTCCTCAGGGGTGCCTTGGTAAAATGCCCAAAAATTGTATACAAGCCAGCGGGTGGAGCAAGCCTGCCTTTTAGTACACAAAGCCACAGCTTTTGATTGTGCACTTTTATGACCTTCTAGCTGTCTGCATCCTGACAACCAATGACGTCATCAGTTGACAAGAAGGATGTCAGGTGCATGCACATCAACCTTGTTTGGCCCTCCCCTGCTCCTCTCCATCAGCACTGGGGTTACATTAGCAGATTGAGGGAGAGAAAATGAGAGATACACCCCGGAATACTGGTCGGTTCCAACGGGCAACATGTATTTGCTTTGGAAGAAAAAATCACCTCGAACGTTGGGTGTACTGGATGTGTGAAGAAGAGTTTTTTACATTTTAGATTGGGGTGCCTTGAGATTATCCATCATTTTATAGGGTGCCTTCACTGAAAAAAAGGTTGAGAAACTCTGGCCTATACAAAATATAGAGCACTGACGTTTGTCGCTGTTTCACGGTTGTGTGCAATTTTAAGGCTTGCCATGCTGGGTGTCCATTTACTTGGCGCAACCTCATTTTTTACTGAAATTGGTTGCTGTTTCACGGTCATGCACAATTTTAAGGCTTGCTATGTTGGATGTCTACTCGGTGCAGCCTCATTTTTTACTGACGTTTGTCGCTGGTTCACGGTCATGCGCAATTTTAAGGCTTGCCATGTTGGGTATTTATTTATTCGGCACAACCTCATGTTTTACTGGTTTGTCACTGCTTCACAGTCGTGCGCAATTTTAAGGCTTGCTATGTTGGGTGTCTACTTGGTGCAGCCTCATGTTTTACTGATTTGTTGCTGTTTCACGGTCATGCACAGTTTTACGGCTTGACATGTTGGGTGTCTATTTACTTGGTGTAACCTCATGTTTTACTGGTTTGTTGCTGTTTCATGTTCGTGCGCAATTTTAAGGCTTGCCATGTTGGGTGTCTACTTGGCGCAACCTCATTTTTTTACTGAAGTTTGTCGCTGTTTTACAGTCTTGCACAATTTTAAGGCTTGACATGTTGGGTGTCCATTTACTTGGCGTAACCTCGTCTTTTATGGAAGTTTGTTGCTGTTCTACTGTCGTGCGCAATTTTAAGGTTTACCATGTTGGTTGTCTACTTGGTGCAACCTCATTTTTTACTGGTGTGCTGCTGTTTCACGGTCGTGCGTAATTTTAAGGTTTGACATGCTGGGTGACTATTGGTGCAACCTCATGTTTTACTAAAGTTTGTTGCTGTTTCACGGTTGTGCGCAATTTTAAGGCTTGCCATGTTGGGTGTCTATTTATTTGGCACAACCTCATGTTTTACTGGTTTGTCGCTGTTTCACGGCCGTGCACACAATTTTAAGGCTTGCCATGTTGGGTGTCTGCCTAGTGCAACCTCATTTTTTACTGGTGTGTCGCTGTTACACGGTCGTGCCCAATTTTAAGGCTTACCATGTTGGGTGTCTATTTACTTGGCGCAGTGTCATGTTTTACTGGTTTGTCGCTGTTTCACGGTCGTGCGCAATTTTAAGGCTTGCCATGTTGGGTGTCTATTTACTTGGCGCAGCCTCATGTTTTACTAAAGTTTGTCGCTGTTTCACGGTTGTGCGCAATTTTAAGGCTTGACATGTTGGGTGTCCATTTACTTGGTGTAACCTCGTCTTTTACAGAAGTCTGTTGCTGTTTTACGGTCGTGCGCAATTTTAAGGTTTGCCATGTTGGGTGTCCACTTGGTGCAACCTCATTTTTTACTGGTGTGCTGCTGTTTCACGGTCATGCGCAATTTTAAGGTTTGACATGCTGGGTAACTATTGGTGCAACCTCATGTTTTACTAAAGTTTGTTGCTGTTTCATGGTCGTGCGCAGTTTTAAGGCTTGCCATGTTGGGTGTCTATTTGCTTGGTGCAACCTCATGTTTTACTTAAGTTTGCCACTGTTTCACTGTCGTGCGCAGTTTTAAAGCTCACCATGTTGGGTGTTTATTTGGCACAACCTCATGTTTTACTGTTTTTTTTTGCTGTTTCACAGTCGTGCGCAATTTTAAGGCTTGCCATGTTGGGTGTTTATTTACTTGGTGCAACCTTGTGTTTTACTGGTTTGTTGCTGTTTCACGGTCATGCGCAATTTTAGGGCTTGCCATGTTGGGTGTCTATTTAGTTGTTGTAACCTCGTATTTTACTGGATTGTCGCTGTTTCACGGTCGTGCACAGTTTTAAGGCTTGACATGTTGGGTGTCCATTTACTTGGTGCAACCTCATTTTTTACTGATTTGTCGCTGTTTCACAGTCGTGCACGCAATTTTAAGGCTTACCATGTTGGCTGTACAGGAGAAGACCAGGGAAAACATTACTGAATTATTATTATTTTTTTTATTGTGGGTCCAACAAGGTGTCTACACAGCCCTGGGTGAATTTGCTATAGTAATACAGCCTTACAAGTTGAGCTACAACAAAATGGCCGCCTAGTCTGCGTGCTAAGGAAATGTCTCCATCAGGTGTGCACATGCAGCCTGTATAACTACGGACGTCCGCCGCTTTGGGCTCCTAGAAAATGGCCGCCGGAGGGGGTTGAAATCTCGCGCATGCCTCCTTTGGCTACGGCCGGCAGCGGTGGCCATGTTGGGTGTGGGCACTGCGGCGTGGAAATTCCGGAGAGGAAGTGGGCAAGCCATAGAGAGGAAGTGGGCTGCAGATCCTTTGTATTCAGCATAGAGGGGTGCTGAGAGGAAGGTGAGTGTGCTCTTTGGGAGGACCCCAATTTTCGGCTGTATTATATGGAGGGGAAGACTTTTATCAGCCCTGGGATCATTCTATTCATGTCCAGAGCTGGATTACATATCTGTGACACCAAAGAGGACCAGTCACCATGGCACCAATGCAGAGATGTGTAATGATCAGGGTTCTGCAGGCTTACCTATAATAGATCGATATCTGCCCCGTATTTACTTACCGACTCTTCAGCCGGAGGGTCGGGGGGGGCTCAGAGGTCGCTTCGAGCTAAACGGTCGACGCCCGGTCACCGGGTGGACCTCTCATGCAGCCTTCCAGCTCTTTAGTGCATCCAGCCGTAGAAAATAACTGCACCCCGTAGTTAAGAAGGAGGTAGAAGGCTAGGTGGACTCCTTGGTCGTCTTCGAGGTTTGGAACTCCAAAGGCGAGTGGCAGTTTCTGCTTCTGGCAGTTCTTTCCCCTTTAAATGGCTGATCAATGGTGGTTTTTAGCTGGGGAACCCAACATGGGTGAGCAGATGGAGCAAGAAATGAGATGTTCTTGGCTGGAAGGAGATCAAGGTTGAGGATCTTCTATGGAGGGAAATAGTGTACCATCCAGGATCATGGTTGTGGATGGTCTACTACTATTCCAGCAAGGAAGAAGATAGGTAGGTGCTTCCGGATGGAAGAAGATCAGGTGAAGTGTGAGAATCTGCTATGGAGAAAAATAGGGTTCTAGATGGTCTACTCTCAGTTCTACTATCGCAGTTCCTGCCCCTTTAAATGCCTAATCAATGGCAGTTTTCAGTTGGGGAACCCACTTGGGTGAGCAGAGGGAGCAATAAATTAGATGGATGTTCTTGGCTGGAAGGAGATCAAGAGAAGGTTGAGGATCTTCTATGGAGGGAAATAGTGGACCATCCAGGATCATGGTTCTGGATGGTCTACTATTCCAGCAAGGAAAAACATAGGTAGGTGCTTCTGGATGGAAGAAGATCAGGAGAGTTGTGAGGATCTCCTATGGAGAAAAATAGGGTTCTAGATGGTCTACTCTCAGTTCTACTATCGCAGTTCCTACCCCTTCAAATGGCTAATCAATGGCGGTTTTCAGTTGGCAACCCACTTGGATGAGCAGAGGGAGCACTAAATTAGATGGGTGTTCTTGGCTGGAAGGAGATCAAAAGAAGGTTGAGGATCTTCTATGGAGGAAAAAAGTAGACCATCCAGGATCAAGGTTCTGGATGGTCTACTTTTCCAGTTCTACTATGGCAGTTCTTGCCCTTTTAAATGGCTAATCAATGGCGGTTTTCAGTTGGTAACCCACTTGGATGAGCAGAGGGAGCACTAAATTAGATGGGTGTTCTTGGCTGGAAGGAGATCAAAAGAAGGTTGAGGATCTTCTATGGAGGAAAAAAGTAGACCATCCAGGATCATGGTTCTGGATGGTCTACTTTTCCAGTTCTACTATGGCAGTTCTTGCCCTTTTAAATGGCTAATCAATGGCGGTTTTCAGTTGGTAACCCACATAGATGAGCAGAGGGAGCACTAAATTAGATGGGTGTTCTTGGCTGGAAGGAGATCAAAAAAGGTTGAGGATCGTCTATGGAGGGAAAAAGTAGACCATCCAGGATCCTGGTTCTAGATGGTCTACTATTCCAGCAAGGAAGAAGATAAGTAGGTGCTTCCGGATGGAAGAAGATCAGGAGAAGTATGAAGATCTGCTATGGAGAAAAATGGTAGACCATCCACGTACCAAGGTTTTGTATGGTCTTCTATTCCAGCTCCACTGTGGCAGTTCTTGCCCCTTTAAATGGCTGATCAACGGTGGCTTTTAGCTGGGGAACCCACATGGTTGAGCAGAGCAAGCAAGAAAGTAGATAGGTGTTCTTGGCTGGAAGAAGATCAAGAGAAGTGTGAGGATCTGCTGTGCAGAAAAGTAGTAGACCATCTAGGACCAGGCTTCTGGATAGTCTGCTATCCAGTTCTACTTTTGCAGTTTTTACCCCTTTAAATGGCTGACCACTAGTGGTCTTCAGCTGGGGAATGCACTTAGGTGAGCAGAGGGAGCAAGAAATTTGATGGATGTTCTTGGGGAAAAGTAGACCATCTAGGACCAGGGTTCTGGAAGGTCTACTATTCCAGGTCAATTACGGCAGTTCTTGCCCGTTTAAATGGCTGAACAGTGGTGGTTTTCAGCTGGGGAACTCACATGAGTGGGCAGAGCAAGGACAAAGTATATGGGTGTTTCTTGTTGGAAGGAGATCAGGAGAAGCTTGAAGATCTGCTATGGAGGAAAATTGTATACCATCTAGGACCAGGGTTATGGATGGTCTACTATTCCATGTCTACTATGGCAGTTCTGACCCCTTTAAATGGCTGGTTAATGGTTGTTTTCAGATGGGGAATCCACATGGGTGGGCACGAGGAAGAAAGTAGATGCGTGTTCTTGGCTGGAAGAAGATCAGGAAAAGTTTGAGAATCTTCTATGGATAAGAGTAGACCATCCAGGACCAGGGTTCTACTGTGGCAGTTCTTGCCCCTTTAAATATCTGATCAGTGGTGATTTACAGTTGGGGAACACAAATGGGTGAGCAGAGCGAGGAAGAAACAAGGTGGGTGTTCTTGGCTGAAAGGCAATCAGTGTGTGAGGATCTGCCATAGAACAAAATAGTAGACTTTCCAGGACCAGTTCCAGTTATTCGGTCAAAGTTTTTGCCCCTTTAAATTACTGAACAATGGTGGCTTTCACCTGGGAAAACCACATGCTTTGGCACAGCAAGGAAGAAGGTAGGTGGGTGCTCCGGGCTAGAAGGTGATCAGGAGAAGGTTGATGATCTGCTATGGCGGAAAATAGAATATCTAGGACCAAGGTTATGGATAATCTACTATTCAGTTCTACTATGGCAGGTCTTGCCCCTTTAAATGGCTGATCAATGGTGGTTTTCAGCTAGGAAAACCAACATGCGGAGTGAGAAAGAAGGTCGTTGGGTGTTCTTGGCTGGAAGTAGATCAGGAGAAGGTTGAGGATGTTCTATGGAGGAAAATTGTGCATTCAGTATCATGTCTACTATTCCATTTCTACTATGGCAGTTCTTGCCCTTTTAAATAGCTGATCTGTGGTGGTTTTGCAGCTGGTAAACCCACAGGGGTGAGGAATAAGGTAGGTGGGTGCTCCTGGTTAGAAGGAAATCAAGAGAAGGTTAAGGACCTGCTATGGAGGACCATTACAGACCCTCCTGGACCAGGGCAGGTACCCTTCTGCAACCAGACCAAACCTAGTCAGACTTTGTGAAGTTGACAGAGTCGGACCGGGTCATGGTCCAGGAGGAACATTTTGTAAATAACAAGCTCTTCTGATGATGATGATCTGCTTTGTAAGGAACCTCATGAGCACTATTCAGATTGGGGCTTTAATTGGCAGCTGTGACTCTGAGGAGCCTCTGTGGAATTTAGTGAGCTCAGAGATTTACAAAGATGGCTGACATCATGCAGCTGGTGAGCTCGAGGAGCCTGTGATGCACCTACACATCTGGTTAGAAGAGGGCTCCTTAGTTCTCCATGGACCTGTTGTATCCAGAAGTTCTACCACTCATAAAAACTGCTTTACTAAAAACGTTAAAAGCCATATTCCTTTTTTTAAAAGTAAAGATGAACCAGATTCCTGGATGTTGTTTATCTATTGTATCATTTTTTTTACAGTGTTCTGCTTTTATTGTACTTCACCATCATGGCTGCTGTGACCTCACCATAGTCCTTGTCTTCTACCAGGTCCCGAGTCTTCTTCCTGACTGTTCCGCCGAAGATGGACAAGGAAAGGATCAAGATCACCGAGAGGATATTAAACCTTACCTTAGAGATTGTCTGCCTTCTGACTGGAGAGGTGAGGAGCATTCTGGGAGGTCCCATCACAAAACTCTTATCTCTATTATTAAAACCTAGACTTTTTCGGAGAGGTGAGGTGGATTCTGGGAGGTCACATGGCTATGTTGTTTTCTTACAGAGTTTTCCTCCTGTGAAGTCTGGTGACCATGTGATCATCACAGTGCCTACACTGCAATCGCTGATACCTGAGAGAAAAGATAAGAAGATCCTAGAGGTGACCCAGAAGATCATCGAGCTGCTGACAGGAGAGGTAAGTGGTGCCACAAATTTTCGGGTGTGATCCAGTTACAGACAAGTGCTGTGGCTGGATGGTGACGGGTATCATTGTGTGTGTCAGGTTCCTATAAGGTGTCAGGATGTCACTGTCTATTTCTCTATGGAGGAGTGGGAATTTTTAGAAGGACACAAGGATCTCTACAAGGATGCCATGGTCGAGGACCCGAGGAGAGATGACGCCACGATGGAAGACCAGAAGAAAGCAGACATTGTGAAGATGAGACCAGGGAGGAGTCCCAGCCCTCGCAATGCTTGGGATTGCACGCAAGAAGATCACAACTACGCCCAACATTTCCAGGTAGGAGGCTCAGAGGAATATTTAACCTGCCCTTTTCTATACTGTGTTCAAACATGGACCATAAATCCTATCATACTATCACATTTAGAACGGAATCTTGGAAAATATTAAAATTAAAGAAGAGGAGAAAGAGGATGATGAGATGGTGATCATGGTTCGGGTGAAAGAAGAAGAAGTCCCTATAGAGATTGGTGCCGGTGAGTAATAAACACCAAATCCATAGAAAAGTCCAAACTCTTTGCCCAGTCACTACAGCAACCTCTTCTTGGGAGAGATCAGAAGCCATCAACCTAAAGTCTTATCAGCCAAACTTGGCCCTACTGGACATGAAAACTCTGGTGAAAACTTTCTTCAATTTCATATTCTTCAGGTTTCCTTGCTTCTGTGGTTGGTTATAGTAAGCCTTTTAGACTCTTCTCGGAGGTCCTAGTTCGTAGTCACCGATGATTGGTCAAGATATGTCTTGAATTCCTACAGAAAGTCTTTGGTAGCTGAAAGAGACAGGATCATCCATTGAAGTTTGTGTATAGATGTGTGCTCCAGCAGTAGTTAAAAGGTTCAGTAGAAGACCTATGAAGAGTAGAAATGAGCTAGGTTCCGTTCCACACTGTCCAAATCCAGTTCGCCCAAACTAACGGGAAGCTCTCACATCCCTGCCGGCCTAGTGAGCTGCGGGTGGGTATGCTTGTGACATCATTGACCTAATATGGCCACATTTAGAGATATTTCTAGTGGTTTCCTTGCTGGGAGCTCTGGTCCTCATATGGTTGGTTATGACCAGACTTTTCTGCAGTTTCTAGACACTGATGAATTGCCTGGCAGATGTCAGGTCTCGCCTTCTGCTGGCCAAGATATCAGAATTAATTATTGATGGTCCTTGAGCAGCAAGTCTCAGGTAGCTTAGCCACTTGGGAACATCTTTAGGGACTTGATTTTTACGTAAGCACCAGCAGTAGTCCCAAGGCTTGTTAGGAGACCCATGGAGAGTGCAACTACTGATGCACCAGGGCTAAGCCATAGGTGGTCCTTGAGTAGCAAGCTTAGCCACTCGAAAACATCTGTAGGGACTTGCGTCTTGATGTCCTGCCATCTCCAGGTGTCCTGTCATCCCTGGGCGTCCTGCCATCCCCGGGCGTCCTGTCATCCCCGGGCGTCCTGCCATCCCCGGCCATCCCCGGGCGTCCTGCCATCCCCGGGCGTCCTGTCATCCCCGGGCGTCCTGCCATCCCCGGGCGTCCTGCCATCTCCAGGTGTCCTGTCATCCCTGGGCGTCCTGCCATCCCCGGGCGTCCTGTCATCCCCGGGCGTCCTGTCATCCCCGGGCGTCCTGCCATCCCCGGGCGTCCTGCCATCCCCGGGGCGTCCTCGTCCAGTCATCCGGCGTCCTGCCAACCCCGGGCGTCCTGCCATCCCCCGGGCGTCCTGCCATCCCCAGGCGTCCAGTCATCCGGGCGTACTGTCATCTCTTGACGTCCTGTCATCCCCGGGCGTCCTGTCATCCGCGGGCGTCCTGTCATCCGCGGGCGTCCTGTCATCCCCGGGCGTCCTGCCATCCCTGGGCGTCCTGCCATCCCCGGGCGTCCAGTCATCCCGGGCGTACTGTCATCTCTTGACGTCCTGTCATCCCCGGGCGTCCTGTCATCCCCGGGCGTCCAGTCATCCCCGGGCGTCCAGTCATCCCCGGGCGTCCTGTCATCCCCGGGCGTCCAGTCATCCCCGGGCGTCCAGTCATCCCCGGGCGTCCTGTCATCCCCGGGCGTCCTGCCATCCCCGGGCGTCCTGCCATCCCCGGGCGTCCTGCCATCCCCGGGCGTCCTGCCATCCCCGGGCGTCCTGTCACCTCTGGGCGTCCTGTCATCCCCGGGCGTCCTGTCACTTCTGGGCGTCCTGCCATCCCCGGGCGTCCTGTCACCTCTGGGCGTCCTGTCATCCCCGGGCGTCCTGTCACTTCTGGGCGTCCTGTCATCCCTGGGCGTCCTGTCACTTCTGGGCGTCCTGTCATCCCCAAGCGTTCTGTCATCCCTGGGCATCCAGTCATCCGGGCATACTGTCATCTCTTGACGTCCTGTCATCCCCGGGCGTCCTGTCATCCCCGGGCGTCCTGTCATCCCCGGGCGTCCTGTCATCCCCGGGCGTCCTGTCATCCCCGGGCATCCAGTCATCCGGGCATACTGTCATCTCTTGACGTCCTGTCATCCCCGGGCGTCCTGTCATCCCTGGACGTCCTGTCATCCCCGGGCGTCCTGCCACCTCTGGGCGTCCTGTCATCCCCGGGCGTCCTGCCACCTCTGGGCGTCCTGTCATCCCCGGGCGTCCTGTCATCCCTGGGCGTCCTGTCACCTCTGGGCGTCCTGTCATCCCCGGGCGTCCTGTCATTCATTTTGCTCCTCACTTTTTGTTTGAACTGACAACGCAGAGGCTTTGCTGCGCTAAAATCCAAAACGTCGTTGTCAGCTCTGTCCAGTTCTCCTGTGATGAACTACGGAACACATCCCCCTGCCAGAACATGAGGGGGGGGGTGTTCTGTAGTCTAGCAGGGGGTGAATTGGGCAGGGCTGACATTTCTGCTTAGGATGTCGGTCATGGGTCTAGCTTAATGAAAAAAACGAAAAAAAAAAAAAAAAAATCGCATGCTAGGTCGCACCCTATTGTCCGCAATTACAGCGGTCGTATCGGCGCAGTTCAAACTTGGTCGGAGCCGATTTCTAGAGTGGCGCAGGCACTACTTTTGGTGCGATTGCCATAGACCTCGGTGTCAGACGTCTTGCAAATCACACCTCAAATTGGCAGGACCCCCGACTGCGAAATCTGTAAGTCGCACGATTTCAAACTCGGGATCGGTGTCACCGGGGTATAAGTAAACGTGATTTGGCTCACATTTTTGTGAAAGTTTGGCAGCCTTGACTATCGGATTCGTGACGGATCTATCTCAGCAGCTCTAGGCTGACGACTTAACTACCTGCCGACCGCAGATAGCCGAATGACGGCTGCACTGCGGCCGGCCAGTTCTGAGTGGACGTCATATGACGTCCTCCCAGGACGCGCTCTCCTGGGCGCGCACCCGGCGATCTCTGTGATCGCTGTGTCCTACGGACACAGCTGATCACGTGATGTGGTAAAAGGCCAATCACAGCGGCCTTTTACCACGTGATCAGCGGTGTCCAATGACACGCTGATCAGAGGGAAATGCAAGTGCCGGTTCTCGGCTGCACTTTCTTCACGCTGTCAGATCGTGAGGAAAGTACTGCCGAGAACCGGCAGTTGTCAGAGCGGGGATCGGCACCGATCATCAGGGTCACTGATCACCAGTGCCCTGATGATCGGTGCCCAGCAGTGCCACCCGCAAGTTCCGTCCAGCAGTGCGCCCACTAGCTCCGCCCACCTGTGCCCAGCAGATCACCCACCTGTGCCCAGCAGTGCACCCACCTGTGCCCAGCAGTGCACCCACCTGTGCCACTCTGCAGTGTCACACACCTGTGCCCAGAAGTGCCACCCACCTGTGCCCACCCACCTGTGCCCACCAGTGCCACCCACCTGTGCCCACCCACCAGTGCAGCCCAGCAGTGCTGCCAGTCAGTGCCACCAGTCAGTGCCCAGGGGTTGTGCCAGTCAGTGCCGCCAGTCAGTGCCCAGCAGTGATGCCAGTCAGTGCCGTCTATCAGTACCCATCATCAGTGTCACCTATCAGTGCCGCCTATCAGTGCTGCATATTAGTGCCGCCTATCCGTGACACCTCATTAGTGCTGTCTATCAGTGCCGCCTATCCGTGCCACCTCATTAGTACTGCCTATCAGTGCCCTTTAGTGCTGCCTATCAGTGCCCATCAGTGCCGCCTATCAGTGCCCATCAGTGCTGCCTCATCAACGCACATCAGTGAAGGAGAAAAAATACCTGTTTGAAAAATTTTATAATAGAAACAAAAAAAACTTTTTTTTTTTTTCAAATTTTTTGCATTTTTTTTTTTTTATAGCGTAAAAAGTAAAGCGCCCAGTGGCGATTAAATACCACCAAAAGAAAGCTCTATTTGTGAGAAAAAAATGATCAACATTTCATATGGGTACAATGTTGCATGACCGCGCAATTGTCAATCAAAGTGCGGCAGCACTGAAAGCTGAAAATTGGCCTGGTAAATAAGGGGGTATAAGTGCCTGGTAGGCAAGTGGTTAAACAGGCAACTCTCGGCTCCCCCCCCCCCCCCATTTCTTTTGTTCTCTTCTTTTTCCTCCCAATTACCACCCCCCCCCTTTCTGCCCTTCCCTCTGCTTGCATCCTGCTCCCAAATTCCCCACCCCCTTCCCTCCCAGCTGGTTATTCCATCTGTACAGCACCATCTCTGGCCTCCCCTGGAAATTCCACTTCACATCGAACCTCTTCTAAGGCAACCTGTGAAAAATCGATCGATTTCCCCCAGCAACACGGACAGTCCCTCCTTCAGTGCTATGACGTCCTACCAGCGGGTAGCCTTTCCTACCAGCAGAACACAATGATCACACCAGCAGTGATCTCATGAAAAAAAAAAATCCGACAGGCTGCTTGTCATGAAGTCAATCGATGGATCAACTTCAGTACAACTAGCCTGCTCATAGATGGATCGAATCTCAACCGGTCCCTGCTGAACTGTCTGAGATTCGATCCGTCTATGACTGGCTTTAAGCAGGCCATACATGATTCTTTTTTTTTTTTTTTCCTTCAACTAGCAGATCGAACAAAAATAAACGACTCTATTTCCTGCATCCACACATTGAAGGTAGATGGGGGATCACTCCTGCTTTGCTAATGTTTTTCTGATGGCGGGGAGACTTCCCCAATGATCAGTGCTGCCGGCTATAGCTTGCGGCAACCAGTTTGACACCCCTGGCCGCCTATAGAGCTAGGTAGGTCATTACTTCACCTTGGTCAAAGCTGCTGTCTGGTGAAGGTGAAACGTGCCAGAAACTGGACATCACACTGTGACTGAATGATTGTTTCTTCCAGCTTGGCTATCCTACCCACATGGAAGAAAAATAGATCTGAAATATAGTTTAAAAATATTCTTCCCAAATATATTGATATATCTGAAATACTACAATTTTGGCCGTATTCAATATATTTAAAATAAAAAAATTATATATATACTGCACGTTGAAATGCATTTCTTATATATTACAAAATACATGAAAGATATTTTTATAAATAGATTTTTTTAAATATATTCTTC